TTTCTCTTAAAAGGAACAGATTTTCAATCTAAGGCGGTTGAGCTGTGGAAGCCGAGGCCCAGCTGTTTCACTCAGCTCTCATGGAGACATGAATCTCTCATTTGATTGTGTGTGAAATAAGGTCTAATTACTGTGTGTGTGGGGGGGGGCGAGTGGGGGGGGCTACTAGTTTACAGCAAAAGTGGCTCGATGAGCTACTGAAAAATGTTGTTTGGAGAAATGACTTTGTGAATCTCCATGTTTACTGAATCCAACCATTTCCCTGTAATTTGTCCTCTGACAGCACTGGAACAGCTTCAACCAGGCTGCCGCGCTGCAACACAAAAGATCTGGCATGGCTGCTGTGTTTGTGTGCATGCATAAGCAGAAATGGTTTTAACCATTTTCATGTGCCATCTCTCTGTATTTTACCTCCTAAATCTGCCCGTGTCCAAATGAAGGAGGTGGCGAGCAGACCGATGTGATCTGATCTGATCTGACTGATGTGAAGTGACGACGACTCTTGTTTTCCCTCTCAGGCACGGCCTCTTATTTATGTGTCCTTTCCACGGGGGCCTGGAACCCAAGAGGCCCAGATCTCAGCAACTGCACCTCCCACTGGGTCAACCAAGTGGCCCAGAAGGTTCGTACGGGCAGCGCCGCGCTGTTTTTCTTCTGAGTGGAATGTGTTTTTTAAAAGCGTAGAAGGAGCAGACAAAACAGAAGAGGTCGTCCTCAGGAGTGGGTTCTGCTCAGACTGCCTCGATCATCGACTTAAAAGCAGATGTTCAGAGTAGAATAGACAAGACACAGAGGCAGATCCCACCTGCCTTACACCCAGAAGGTCCTGGGTTTGAGCCCCAGAGGGGCCACATGCTAAAGCGCCCCCTGTGGAGGCCTATGTGAGTTGCACAGACCTATACTGTGACTTCTCCACTGTGGGACTTTTGTTTTAACTGAGGGTCACATGATCAACTTCTGATGTGAACCATCTGTGGAGAAAGTGTTGCATTTGGTTCAAATTTGTACGTCTAACATATCCAGGTTCATGCAGGGTTTTTTTTTTTTTCATCAAGGTGACTAACTGCTACCATGGCAACCTCTCCTGCATGGAGAAAACATAAATGCCTGTGTTCATAAATAACAGTTCAAGGACTTATTCAAGTGTGATTCAAACGTAGACACATGGCAACAAAGAAGAGTTTATATCCACCGTGCAGCCGGCCGTAACCCTTTCTTCTCTCGTCCCCTGCAGATCCGCAGCGGTGAAAATGCAGCCAACCTGGCCAACGAGTTAGCAAAGCACACCAAAGGCCCCATCTACGCCGGTGATGTCAGCTCCTCGGTGCGTCTGATGGAGCAGCTGGTAGACATTCTGGATGCTCAGCTGCAGGAGCTCAGGCCGAGTGAGAAGGATTCTGCAGGACGCAGTTTCAACAAGGTGAGAAGGAGGAAAAATAAAGAGTTTAATAAACCCTTTTTCTGCATCTCACTGAAGTCAGAAATGTCTTTAGGAATTAGAAAGGCTTAACTAATGGGAAGGAAGTCTCTTATTTTGTCTCTTTATTTCTTTTCTATCGAGGATAATCAGAACATCTGTGTGGCAGACAGAACTGAAGTGACTTTTACGGTTTTAAAATAGTAGAGAGGTCAGCGTGGGGTCAAAACGATGCACCATTTAACGAATTTCAAACATTAGTAGTCATGGAGGTCACTAGTATGTGAAGCACTCTGCTGGTTGAAAGGATCTCAGTGTAGCCAGCCCTGAGTCAAGACCTTGTCTCTACAAATGTGGTTTTTATTTTTTTAGCAAGAATTTCTACAATTTATGTCTGTTGTTTTTTATTTCTCCCTTTTCTATTAAAAAAAGCTTCAAAAACGAGAAAGGACATGCAGGGCGTACATGAAGGTACTGGAGCGATGCTTCTGCCAACACTTGTGCTGCCCCCCCCCACCCCCCCTGTTCTGTTTCTGTTCATGTCCGTGTCAAAGTTCAGCAGCATGTCCTGCTCTGCTCTGCTCTGCCCTCTACCTCTCTACTTCTCTACTTCTTTTTTTTTTTCTTTACCTTTTTGCTGGATGCAGAGACACATTTGTGACTAAACTGCTCTTATTCTGCTCTCAGTTCATTTTCTGTATCTACGGTGACCTCCCCTCATGGATAACTTTTATATATATATCCCACTCTCTGCATTGACAGTAATGTCGTGTGTCATTTTTTTTTTTTTTCATTTTATTTTCCCTGTGATCCATGAGTTTTAAATGTCACATTCAGGCTCTTAACACAGAAACATCCTCTGATTCCAAACCTGTGTTCAAGTCATCACAGTCACAGGGCTCTGACTTGAACGTGTCTCACCACGTGCACAGGCTCCACGTGCACGTCCTTAGCTCTGTCTGGTTGATAAGGTTGTCCACCTCCATTTTTTTCATTGAGAGCTTTCAGGTTTGGTGGCACATTAAATTCTTTTGTCCATATATATCCTTCTATCATTAGGGAGCTCATTGTCCTCCACCTGCCACCAAAGTCGCCCCCCACCATCCAGATCTCTCCTCTGGGACAGTGTTAAAATGGATCCAGCTAATTAGCCGGTCAATGGCCGTGTGCTCCTGCAAGGAGAGGAAGGAAAAGGAGGAAAGAAAGAAAAAAACACACACACACACACACACACACACATATATCACCTCTCACCGTCAACTCTGTTAAAAATGTCACGTCATCGTTTTGTGTTTTAATGTCACAACACGTGGGTTAGAAGAGAGTGACAGTGAAAATGACAGCAGTTATTAGACTAATGAGAGATGGTGGGAGACAGACTGGTGACTCGGCACTATCTGACATCTGACATCCATGACACAACACTGCATTAGCACTAACCCCCGCCCCACCCCGCCATACCCCACCCCCCCCCCCCCCCCCCCCCCCCCCACTCTCCATGAGCCGTCACCTTTACTAATCACCTGATTAGACACATCAGGGTTTATTTCCAGGAGAAAACCAGGAGTTGTTGGCATTAAATAACGACTTCCTGAAAGTAAAGAACGACTGCACCTGGTATCAGAGAACACGTCTGTCTGTGTCTGTCTGTGTCTGTCTGTGTCTGTCTGTGTCTGTCTGTGTCTGTCTGTGTCTGTCTGTGTCTGTCTGAATTCTAATAAATTCAGTGGTCTGGTATGGGTTGAGGGTTCAATTATTTTCAAGCTGAACATATCTAATTACTGCCGTTCATCAGGGACGACTGGTGTTTTCTCAGCTCTGCAGTTAATAATGGAAGCAGGAAGTGACAACAAAGTGTCTTTAGTCGTTAGTCTAATTAATATAGTCTGGTTCTGACCTGTAATAAGCAGTGAATAACAAACTACATGGTTAGTGGTTATAACACAGACACCTGTAACAGCATGTTATTATTACTATTATCAACTACTTGTTGATAGTAATCATTGATCATCCAAATAAAACCTCACCACTCGTCCTCAGAACACGGTTCAGCTGCAGTAAATATGTCACACAGACCAGGTTCCAGTACCAGTTTTATCAAAGGTGGAGGTTTGTAAACTTCCCTGTGACTTCTTGAACCAGAAAGCAAAACCTGTCCTGTCGAGCGCTGTGATTGGTCGTCAGGACTGCAGGTGACCCATTTACAGTAGGTTCAGATCGCTGAGCGTAACGAGTTACACAGCTGAGCCAGGGTGATATGAGTGGAGGAGCAGTCATCTCAGGGTAACCTGGTGGAGGAGCAGTCATCTCAGGGTAACCTGGTGGAGGAGCAGTCATCTCAGGGTAACCTGGTGGAGGAGCAGTCATCTCAGGGTAACCTGGCCGAGGAGCAGAGGAGCAAAGAGCCTCGTAAACCAGGAGCAGAATTTATATTTATTTAATTTTTTAAATTGACTTTTTATCATTTGGTACAAATATATACTGGTAATAGTAACACACAGACTAACATGAAAACACAGGAATATATCTGTACATACAGATGCATGTGTACGTACTCTTCCACACATATAAACTCTTACATATACACACACACACACATACATACATGTAGTTATGAAATTATACAAATTTCAAATTTAATTAGAATACAAAACAAGTGTAAATAAAAACATATATTTATGTATGCATACATGTGCATTAAGACATAGATATATATGTATTTATATATGTGTGTGTGTGTGTGTGTGTGCAGCAGACAGCAGGAAGTGAACTGTGTTTGGCCACTTTGTCCTTCATGGCGTCATCTTTTAATTATTAATTATTTCATTATAAGACTCAGGATGTCCTGTCCTTGTTTGTTACGTAGCATTTGATGTTGTCCATAAAATATATTTTTTTTTCTTCTATTTCTCCCCTCATCCATTTAAACTCTTCTCGACCCTCCAAGGACCCCTCCCCTCAGTTTGCACGTACATGCTTGTCTACATTTGCTCAGTGCATGATTGTTTTCTTTCCCTCTTCACCTCATGTCCATGTTGGTTTCCACTCACACGTGTGTCATTTGTCTTTTGAACGCAGGCCATCGTGGACACAGTGGATAACCTCCTCCGACCCGAGGCCTTGAAGTCGTGGCGTGACATGAACAGCACGGAGCAAACGCACGCAGCCACCATGTTACTGGACACTCTGGAGGAGGGGGCCTTCGTCCTCGCCGACAATCTCATGGAACCTGCTTTTGTTAAAGTTCCTGCAGACAATATCAGTAAGTGGAGCCGAGCTTGTGGTAAAGAAATGACGAGTGTTTCCGATTCATGCGAGCTCACTTCATTTCACTGCTTTGAGTTTGTGGAGAAGGAACGGTTCGTGACGGGAAACCGAGGCTGCCGCTTGAAAAAAAAAAAGGACTTTTTTTCATAATAAGCATTTAAACCTCGGGGGAGCAGAAAGAAAAACCCCATATTAGGTTTAACGAGTCGCGTACTGACAACTTGATGAATATGGTACAATTAAATAGACTGGATCCTCTGATTGTGCACGCTTAGTTTACAAATGTACGCGTCTAGACCCTGTAACTCTATACATTAATGTGAACATTAGCTCCACTGTTCATCCAAAGCCTCCTCTGTCTCCTCCATTTTCTTCAGAATGACCCAGGTTTGTTTTCTAAAACATTGTGTTAACGTGTACTGGGAGAGCGACTGTTAGGAAGCGGTGGCTCTGGTCTTATTTCCGTAGCGCGTCTTGCACATTTCTCTAAAAATATCAAAAACAGAGCTTGGCCGTGATGAATGCCCTGGAATCAAAGTGATGTAAATGCAAGTATTTCTGTTGTGTTCTTCCTTCATCTTTCTTCTCTACCTCCCCTGCTGCCTCTCTGCACCTGGCAGTTCTGGACGTGTACGTACTCAGCACAGATGGCCAGGTTCAGGATTTTAAATTCCCACAATCCAGCAAGAGTGGGATCTCCATCCAGCTCTCGGCCAACACTGTCAAGCTCAACAGTCGGAATGGTAAATATACCCATGGAAAACAAACACAGGCTGATCACAAGGTGCTTGTTCTGTCTGAAAAAAATAAATAAACTATGACTTTCACTACTAACTGAGATGTACTAAACACAGACACGTGACAACACAGATCCTTTTATTTCAGTAAATAAAACAAAATGTTTATGTTTTTATCAGAGCTGTCAAAATGAACGTCAATTCAGGTGTAAAATCAAAATCAGATTTTAATTTAATAAACAGTCAGAAAAACACGTACTGTATATTTAATACAAATCCACCGTCTGCTCTGTTACACCGTGAACAGTGAATACAGCATTCTGATTGGTCACAACTAAAAACACACACACCTACATATATGTGGTATTTGACTTTTTGATGCAGAAAATTGTTGGTATTTGACTTTTTGATGCAGAAAATATTATTTAGTCAACATAATTAGAAATGTTGACTTGATCTGATGAATCATAATTAATTACAATTATGAACTTGATTTCTCGCAATTAATTGAGATGAATCAATTTCTAACCTGTAATCAATCTGATTACAAATTTTAATAATTTGACCCACTTTATTTAATTAACAAACAATGTGTTTTGTTTTGTTTTTTTTCAAATGTTTCTTTTTTTTCTTTTTCCCCTGCGTCATGTTTCAGGAGTGGCCAAGCTGGTCTTTGTCCTCTACAAAAACCTGGGCCAGTTCCTCAGTACGGAGAATGCAACCATCAAGATGGAAAATGAAGCTTACGGCCGGAACATGTCTGTGGCGGTCAACTCTGACATCATCGCTGCCTCAATCAACAAGGAGTCCAGCCGCGTGTTCATTAACGACCCGGTGATTTTCACCCTGGAGCACATTGACGTGAGTCTCCCAGCCTGAACAAATGCCGAGGTCGTGTTAGAAAAGATCTCCAGATCTGCAGGAGAGAAGGTGGAGACCAGACACAGAGCTGCACTTTGAATTGTAAATGTCTGTCTGGGTCAGTCCGTAGTTTATTTAAGTCATTGAACATCAAATTAAAGCAGCCTTTAGAACCTAAGTGAATTCTTAATGAAAACTAATTCTTTAATCAACATTGGGATATAAATGATTCCCATTTTCTTTTATAGTGGGGGGAATTACCTCCTAGATTAGCCATACAATCTAGGATGAAATTACTGGAGCACCAATTATCTTTCGTCTTTTAAAGTTGTCACCAGAGTTCCCAGAGGGCCTCGCATGACTCCATTTCTTATCGGAGAAATTGAGCAATTCCTCAGTCTCGCCGTCAAACAATTATGCCTCCCTCTTGTTACGGCCTCGTATACCTAACAATGCTTTGGTTGATTTCACAAGCGTGTGCCAAATTAGACACAACATATGAAAAGCTTGGTGAGAGCCGTGGAGTGAAACATCCTCATCCACGTCAGTCGGGTTGAGTGGGGGGTAAACGGCCTCCGTGTTCTACATGTGCTTCAGTTTCAGGCAGTCAATTATTTGGACACTCAACCATATCTCTTGTTATCTGCAGATGGAGCACTACTTCAACTCCAACTGCTCCTTCTGGAATTACTCTGAGAGGAGCATGATGGGTTACTGGTCCACCCAAGGCTGCAAACTCCTGGAGTCCAATAAAACTCACAGCACCTGCTCCTGCAGTCATCTCACCAACTTCGCCATCCTGATGGCACACCGTGAAATCTCAGTATGTAACTTGTGCTGTCAGAACATAATTATGTCGTTCCAAGGTGGGGGGCGGGACCCCCTTGTGGTGCAGGGGTATTTTAAAGGGGTCCAAAGCAAGTTCAACGAATTTCAATTTCATTAATTGCCCGACTGTGTAAAAAAGGCACCGATTTGTAATTTAATTTTCTTTGTTGGAGGAAAAAGACTTTGTCGTTGTACATAATTTGACTTTGTCAACTTTAATTGTTCATGAAAATCAACAACAACAACAACAGCAACCCAGCTGTGTATTTTTGTGTTCAGAACACGCACATTTTAGTGGTTTCATTTATCAGATAATGGAACAAGGATACCTGTTCCAGGTCAATGACAGAGTCCACGAGCTGCTCCTCACCGTCATCACCCGTGTTGGGATCGTGGTGTCCCTCGTCTGCCTCACCATCAGCATCTTCACCTTCTGCTTCTTCCGGGGTCTTCAGAGCGACCGCAACACCATCCACAAGAACCTGTGCATCAACCTCTTCATCGCCGAGTTAATATTCCTAATTGGTATCGATATGACAGAACCCAGGGTAAGGCGGGACGATTGCCCCCATTGATTTATTCCCCCCCGTCTTTATCTCACCTCAGCCCCACGACAAAACAAAAGACCCTTCCAGAGTCAAATTGATGGGAATTTAAGTGTTGTTTGTTGCTGCTTGTCCCCGACAAGACGTGAGCGGGACAGCAGCATTAATACAGATTACTGTGAGAGACCTGTCCTCCTCTGAGCCCAGAGCTGCTGCAGCGTGGCTCCGCCCTCTGGAATCATCACTTCCTTCTTGATACATCAAAGTAAACGTACAAGTCTGTGTCAGAAGGCTGTGAGACAGACGTCCAACTGAAGTGACTGAGACATGCTGAGACACGTCCCCCACAGCTTTGATGACTTCTGTCATTATATAATATAGAACTATTAATGTTGAGACGGTTGGACTTTTTATTCACTCAGGTTCATCCAGACACGTCCCCCACAGCTTTGATGACTATTAATGTTGAGATGGTTGAACTTTTTATTCACTCACAAATTATAAACCTGATGTGAAATCCTTTAAAGGAATAACATTTTACCAAAAAAATTATATTTTTAAGTGAAAAAATATTTTGAAGAAAATTTCTGCTTCTTAGTAAAAGAGACGGCTTTTCTTTTGTCTTGGGACTTTGTGACTAACTGCATGTGTGACTGTAGATTATTGGTGACATCAGTTCATTTTATACATGTTGAACTGATGTTGAACTGAGAGGAAGGAAGAAATGTCATCATTTTCATCAGGTTTTTGAAAGTTATTCTGAGATTGAAACTGTAGTGAAGTATTAAACCTACAGTCTCTGTATTTGGGTTTTCAGAGTTCACATTTTTTAATGTGTAAAAACTGTAGGCTGTCAAATGTCGACTGTTTAACATGGAGGACTTTATAGAAGGTTTGAAGGTAACTCTTCTACCAGCCAACTCCAAGAAGAAAACTATGATACGAAATACTTTTAGAATATTTTTATTAATTTTATTAATCAGACATCTGTCTAGTATGATCTCCATTTCTGTCCCAGTAATAATGAGAGAAAAACATTAGTCACATTTAGAAACATGGTGATTCATCAGGAGTACTCCACAGATACAGATATTTATTACTCAGATTACTTTTTGTTCTGTTATAAGTAGATATAATGTTGATGTAAAATGTCTGACACAGGTTGGATGTGCGATCATCGCTGGAATCCTGCATTTCTTCTTCCTGGCCTCCTTCTCCTGGATGTGTCTGGAGGGCGTCCAGCTGTACCTGATGCTCGTGGAGGTCTTTGAGAGCGAATACTCCAGGAAAAAGTACTACTACGTGTCCGGTTACCTGTTTCCAGCCATCGTTGTTGCCGTGTCTGCGGCCATCGACTACCAGAGCTACGGGACAAAGACAGCGTGAGTCCAGTGACACGTGGTCTGATGTGGTGCAGACCGTGTAGACCGTGTAGACCGTGTAGACCGCTCTCTGGTTGGAGAACAATCACATTCATTATTTCTTCTAATGTGCGTCCGTGGAGACGCCAGCGCCGTTCAAGCGTCTTCGGGGACGGACAGCTGTTCAATTTTTGATGTCATTTGAGAGCAGCCGACAGACTCGACACTGTGGTTTCAGGAGGTGCGGCTACATTAATGCCTTTCTGCTCAAAGACCCTCCTGTGACCCCGTGTTTGTAAAGAGGAGAGTGCTGAAAAGGCCTTTTACCTAGATTAATGGCTCGATCTCAGCTGAGACCCGGCTACTCGGGGTCTCCCTTCTGTTTTATTAATATTCACTCTGTGACATGAGCATTTGGAAGTGCCCCCATTAAATAAGGTCTATAAATTATGCACTTAATCATTAGCTGAGTAACCAAAAAATGAATTAATTTCCATTAACATCCATTACAGGAACACACACTGATGTGTGTGTTTTTTTTTTTCATAGTTGCTCTTGTGCATCTTGAATCTAAAGTGTGTCTTTTCCTGTCGTAGGTGCTGGCTAAGTGTGGATAATCATTTCATCTGGAGTTTTATAGGACCTGTCACCTTTGTCATCATGGTAAGCATTTCTGTTTTCCTTTGAATATCGAGAGTGACAGAGTGAGCAGGGGCTGAGAGTGTGAGATGAAAGAGATGCTGGGGTGAGATAGAGCAGGTGAGAAGTCACGGGGATTTCTGCTTCTTCACTCCTCCGTGATGACAGCTTAATTTTCCAGCGAGGAAAGATTCGGAGTCTTCCCTCATTTCTCTCCTCTTTGCAGCTGTGACAAGGATCAGGGTTTGATAATGTACTTTTTTACGCATTTACAGAATTCTCACATTGCAGACCTTGGCCTTCAGGCTTTACTGTATTTATGATTAAGGCAAAAAAAAGATTAAAAAAATGCCTTCAAGGCTGTATTTTACAGCACACCCGTTCAGATGGCAGAATGAGATCTGCTCTCCTCTGCATCTGCTTCACCCCTGTTTGTCCACCTGTAGTAAATGACAGAGTCAGGGAGGAGAGGAGAAGCAAAGTCACCTCTCTTTGGTCAAGGACTATCAGGGGTGGAGGACATGTAGCATATTATATTGACACATACCCGACCGAGGCGTGCAATTATTTACCGGCCGTGACATTATTATCTGCGGCTACATCAGAGAGGTCCAGGAGAATAAGACCTGAGGGAGCTGCGCTGCCCCCGTCTGCAGAAACCTGCTATTTCACAGCTACGGCGTTAGCACTAACCAAAACGTCCACCTGAAGGAAGGAAGGCCCAACATCCTGTGAGAGGAAGGCAGTATTGTGTAAAGTAGCGTGTTCATTATCCAGCGTAATGGTCGGCAGTGTATCTGGAGCTGCAGTGACCACTGCTGAACATCAAACACTGAACCACCTGGTGTCAGAACTGGACAAATCCAGAACATCACTGAGAACCTGCTCCAGTCTTTCAGAGTGAAGTTAGCTCTTTGTCTGTGGAGTAACAAAATAAATAAAAGATGAATCTGCACACTGGACTGTATTTCACAGTTTCTGAGACGAGAGAGAGAGAGACAGAGAGACATTGGCTTTCAATGTAGCACTAAAAAATAGAGGAGGAGCCCTATTTTGGTGTTAAATAAAAGATGGTGAAAAGTCTGTTTGGGTTTTTTATCGATTTTTTTTTTTCTTCTTCTTCTTCTTCGTAGCGCTGGTGAGCTTATTATTCAAGAAAAATGTTGTATTTAAAATAAACAACCAGCCTCCTTTCTCAGCCACACAGGGATTTTCTGTGTTTGTTCAGTCCTGAACTGGGCAGCGTGTTGTTTCCCATGTGGGCTTCGTGGTGATTTGCATGAAAAATATGTCTGCAGTGGAAAGGATGATCATCATCCCGGCGGTGATGGCCGGAGAGATGGAACCATGACCCTGTGAGGAGCTAATGTATTGTAGCAGAGCTAATGTGTGACAGAAATAAGGTTTTGTAGCTGTGGCTCAGGTCTGGAACGCCGCCTCCATGGTTCTGTGCAACAACTGACTCAAAAAGACAAAGTGCTTTGGAAAGGAGCATCTCAGGGGAGCAGGCAGGAACAAGGTTTGTCTACACCATCCGTGACCCTGGTTTCTCTACAAATTGCCTTTGTCCTTGGTAATAAAGGAAGTGAGGAAAGTAGAAATAGTACATAACCCTCACCGTGGAGCCCGGCCCGTGTTGGTGGTTTTCTAGCCAAGAGTGGACATGCTTGTTTGTCACCCTTTGGTTTCTCCTCCTTCCTCCGCTTTTGTCTCCTCTGTTTTTGTTTTGTTTTTTTTTCCTGTTCTTTTCGGGTGAAACAGGACCAGAAAACAAATGCTGGTGGAGGCCATTTAGATCCTTTCTCTGACGCACCGGTTGCTCTGACTCTGGGCTCAGGGGGGTATTAGCTCCATGAAAGGAGAACATGGAAGTAATGAGTGGGAGGGGGTCCATTAGCATGCGTGAGCAACCCCAACACAAGGCCTATTGGATCATGACATGTAGCGAGTCGTTCTTATCATCTGGACAGCTCCATCTGCACCTTTAATATTTTATCCCCAGCAGTTCATTTGGAGTTCAGTGTGTACACACTCCGTCCACTCCAGAAAAGAGCTTTCTCCTCCGTCCCAGTGTGGCGAGGTGCTTCTGCATGGCTGCCAGTGTTGATTCAGAGTCAGAGAGACAGAGTGGGGGAGAGGGGGCCAGGCGGAGAGGAGGATCCCCCGGGAGGGGAGGCAGAGTGTGTTGGTGGGGGTGGGAACATGTGCCGTGTCCTGCTCTGTCTCATTAGATCCATGTCACCACTCCAGGCTGTGTAAAGGCTCCTCACTCCCCCGTCTGACCCCCACCACACCCCGATTGTCTGTTTCAGGAGAACGATGGAAATAATGGTTGAAAGCTTTAAAACTAAACCACAGACCAAAAAACAACTTTTTTTTTTTGTCTTTCTACCTGTTCTTCCCGCTCCGTCTGTGTTCCGTGTGGAGCGGTGATTTATTGATCACTGTCAGACTCCTGATTGTGTGGATCATCTACGTAGGAGAGCGAGCGGCGCTGGTTTAAGTCTCTGTCCTTATAAAGGCAACACATCTGCATCCTGCTGAGATAAGACTGGAATGTTTGTTCCAACGATGTTTTTAATCTGTGAGACGTTTTTACAGGAGTTTCTTTTCTCCTGTGCTGCAGTCGTGTAGATCCAATGTTTTCATTGGCTGAGTGTTTTATGTTGGCCAGATTTTTTCTATGCATGATTGGAGACACGTTTCATATTTTTGTTCTTACTCTGGGATACTCCTTGACATCATTTATACATGGCTGACCTGCAGCAGAAACACAGTGAGTGCAGGTACACGCTGTGAGGAACTGCTTTGCCCCAGAAGAAATTTTTATGCTGTGAATTATTTGGAGCAGCTTTTTGCTCGTTGTGTTCCAAAATCACAGTATTGATTTTTTTTTTTTTTTTTTAAGGCGGTGCACATTAATGCACCCAGAGACGGCACCTGGTATCCTTGTCATAACCTGATACGTGCCACCGCCTCTTTAAGACTTGATGCATTGATTTGAGAGAGAGAGAAATGCACTCTCTCTTACTCCTTGACTATTTATTCTGCCACTAGTAAATCTATCTGAACACAAGGACTTAAAATATACGCTCTGGGTTACCTGCTTCTATTTCATAATATTTCACTCTGTATAAAAAGCAAATATGCGTTTTCATACCAAGCGATCTCTTATTTCTCCTGCTCCTTTCATTTCCTTGTGACTTAGCCAGGCGGCTGCTGCTTTTTTTTTCACTGATGGATTTTAATGCATTTCCATGCTCTTATTGATATAGAATGACACTAAATTTGGCGCCAGTCAGCCCGTCTGAGCCGGGCTGGAACGATAGATGTTTATTGGATTAGTCTGTGGACATGCAGAGATTTGAAGGCTCTCCTCTTTTAATATATTTTATAGACAAATTAACAGTTCTCCTTCCCCCCCCCCTCCCCCCCCCTGCTGCATCTTCATGTATTAACACCGTCATTACTCTGTTGTGACAGCTCAATCTCATCTTCCTGGTCATCACAATGTACAAAATGGTGAAGCACTCCACCACCCTGAAGCCAGACTCAAGCCGACTGGAGAATATAAAGTAAGTCAAAAGTCACATGTTATTATACCACCGTTATGAACCTATTATAACAAAGGTGATAGTAATAGTGTTTTCACCACAGGATGTTTTCAGTGTTATTACTATGAAGAATTCACTGTATTTGAAGAGTTTGTTTGTTTGTTTGTTTGTTTGTTCTAACATTCTGTTGCAAGTGACTGTAACATTGAGTTCGTAAAATAGAATAGTACAAATGATCCACTAGGGGGCACCAATGTAACTCAAAATATTAAAATCGACGCGTAATGTAGGGTTAGCAGGTTAGCTTCATCCAGCGGTTTGCAACTTGAACGCAACATTCACAACATTTTCTGGTTTTTTTTATTTTTCTCATTAATTACATTTTCCCACCTAGTGGCCCAGTGGTGGCACTGCAGTCAGGAGGAGATGTTTTGTTTTATTTGGACCAATGAGAGTGACTGGTGTGTCAGAAATGACTGCTCTTTATCCTGTGGTTTTTGCAGAAATAAGTTGAATCTGAACTTGTTTCTTGATGATGTTTTTATTTTTATTTTTTTCTTCTGCTTTGCCTTGTCGTCCTCGCACGTTGCATGTAAATGTAATATTAACGCACCCCCTCTCCTTTCTGTATCTTCTGTCATTCTCTCTCCTCTCTTTCCCGCTTCTGCTCCCGCACCAGTAATTATCGTGTTTGTGACGGCTACTATAATACAGATTTGCCGGGGTAAGCTTTTATTCAACTTAGATTGTTTATACAACCACGTGACATCACACTCTGTAGCGTGGGTCAGAGGTCACATGTTAAGGTGCGGATTTTAGGAATGTAAAAAAATAAATACAAAAATAAAAGACCTCTGAAATGACCAAACACTTAACGCAAAAATCTGCTGATTCATGTCTCTCATTTGCTCGGAAATAATTAAGATAAAAGCACAAAGCTGTGAGTCCTGATTGGACGCCTATCTACGCCCTTGTTTGGATAAAAGTTTGCAATCAAATTCCAGCTGACCCTCAGTGACCTCTCTGTGCACTCTGATCTAATTGTGTTTCTTTCTCCCTGCTCATCATGCTCCCTAGCTATGAAGATAATAAACGTTTTATCAAGTAAGAACAAACTGTACGGACGTTTATCTCTTCTCCTCATCCTTCAGCCTTTTCTCTTCCTTTATTTCCTTCTGTCCATCTTTTCTCCTTGCTCTGTTCTTCTGCCGGTTCATCTCCCGAACCTCTCATCGACAGCTGACGTCACCGCTCGACACCACTCACTGTTCTTCCATCATCACTGCTGTTGTTCTGTGTGTGTGTGTGTGTGTGTGTGAGACCACTGTTCTACTGGACCACCGTCCATTTTTACCATGTTCTGATAAAAAGTAGTCATTTTAATGAACCACAGTCATTGATTATTAAACTCTGAGGTTAATTTGAAAACTGAATTTTATTTTTTCATTTAAACAAAGGACCTTTGATTGAGTTTGGTTTTGGAACAGATTCTTGAATTAGAGCTGACGTTGACTGTGTCTCTCACAGAACGCCTTCTTGTCTGTTTCTTTCTCCTTGTTGTCGTAGATCCTGGGTCATGGGTGCCTTTGCTCTGCTCTTTCTGCTGGGACTCACGTGGTCGTTCGGTCTCTTCTTCATCAGTGAAGCCTCCGTCGTCATGGCGTACCTCTTCACGATATTCAACACCTTTCAAGGAATGTTCATCTTCGTCTTTCACTGCCTCCTCCAGAAAAAGGTAAAGCTCCTCCGGTGTGAGATGGGCTGAATTACAGCTGATTTACTACAAAGATTAAAGGTCTCATGTTTGTGGACCGTGGTCCACATGTGGCCCACATGTGGCCCACATGTGGACCAGTCATATGTGAAGTGGATATCAGACACAAACACTCCACCGTTTGCACACGCAGGTTCGTAAAGAGTACAGTAAGTGCTTCCGCCACACGTCCTGCTGCGGAGGCCTGCCGACCGAGAGCTCCCACAGCTCGGCCAAGACCTCCACCACACGGACCAGCGCCCGTTACTCATCTGGTACACAGGTAGAACCACATCATCATGCAGTCGAAGATCGTCCCGGCTCCAAAACAGGAAGAGAACAATATTTCCTGCTCGTTCTCTTTTAGCTTCTCAGGGAGATCAAACGTTATGGCAGATTTTACAGGCAGCATCTGCTCCACGGCATGGGCACCTCCTTCTCTCCTGCCCCCTGTAGCACTCGCTTTCTTTATCACTAACATCACATGCATGGGAAACAGTGCCGCATAGGTACTTAACAGGAATTGCAATTTAACTGCAGGGAAAAAAAACAACAACAAAAAAGACATTTTCTTTATCCTTTTGTTACTTAAGGCGAGTGGGCTTGATTAGACCATACATCCAGATGAAGTGAGAGAGGAGCTCAAATACAGGCCGCTCTGAAAGCTGCATTGAGTCTGACTGAGACCGGCCTCACCACGTGTAATTTAGCCTGGAGGAGTGAGGAGAGCGTAGTAATCACACGGGCAAAGAAATGAAAGTTGCTGTGAAAGGCGACGGCGGTTGTTTATAGTCCTAATGACTGTCCCTTGTTGACCTGACAGAGTCGAATCAGGAGAATGTGGAATGACACCGTAAGAAAGCAAACTGAGTCCTCCTTTATCTCAGGTGACATCAACAGCACCTCCACCCTTAACCAAGGTCAGTTCACACCTCATCCCTCTGCACATGCACTCCACCATCAACATTTCATCATTCAGCTAAAAATACCTCCTTCAGCGACCGATGATCTCATACAACCAAACGGGAGCTTTTTTTATTATGCCTAAAAAAGACTTTGGGTTTCAGACAGACAGGATTTGAGTTCAAGTCTTTAGTTTGTGTCTCTGCTAACACTGGAGGATCTCAGGTCCAACCTCACGTCCCCTGCACTGTCACCTCGCCTCAGGAACAGCAGACTATTTAAATACTGTCTGAGTAGAATTTGTATCTAATCTCAGGGAAAACTGAGACCAAGGAGAATGTGATGGGGTGAAGTCTTACTCCAGGAAACTCTTAAGCTAGCTGCTAGCAAACAGAGTGACTTGTTAAAGTGCAGAAGGATTTATGAGGGAGGGGGAAAAAGGAGACGTGTCATTTATTATTTAACCTGAGCACAAATATGGTGATGAGAAGATGATGTTCAACTCTGGCTGACCCGCAGTACTTAGTGTGTAGTTAGGCTCTCTGCTCCCTCTCAGTACGTGAACTCCACTCCTGTCGCCTCCTCCTCGTCGCCTCTTCCTCGTCGCACTCCTTTTTCTCCCCTTTTGATTCTCACCTTCCATGAGGTGAAAACCTTCAACTCTTCATCTGAGCCTAGAACTTTGTTGTGGTTCTCTGACATACAGAGCACAGTTACAGCCAGAGAAATATTTTCCCAACACTACTACGACTACCAGGAGAGGGAGTGCAGTCGGATATTGATCACTCCGGCTTGTAACTCGGCTGGTTACCCTGGAGAGGAGGTGTGCTGAGGCAGGGCTCTATCTTCTGGAAGCACTTTCCTGTCATTAAAATCATCCCTGGAGACTTTCCAACATGACATATGGCATTTAACACAGGTGATAAATGAGGGGAGAAGTCTTTAAGACTGTGACTGTGAACTGAAGAGGCAGAGAGCAGAGAGCAGAGAGCAGGGCCCAGAGTCCAGAGTCCAGAGTCCAGAGTCCAGAGTCCAGAGTCCAG